AGTGAGAAAAAGGGCCTAAAAGAGATTATGTCATGTTCATTGCTATACAGGTAGCAAATGGTGCAGACCGGATTTGAGTTCAGGTCTTTGTGGTTGTAAGACCTGTGTTCACATTCCTTCTATTCCCCTAACATCCACACATTGTTCTGAGCAATCATTTCTGCTGTCTCCCTGACAGGAAGTGCTGCTGCTGATGTGATCCCGGGAGACCAGAGAAGTAGTAACACTAACAACATGCATCTGCATAACATAGTTTACATTTCAAAACACTGGCATTGTCCTGAAGATGCTGGGAAGTGGTTGCTGTTGACCTTTTCTCTCCATAAGGGCTGGGGAAGAGAAGTATGGATGAGCACAGTCAACTGCTGATGCACGCTCATGGGATTAGTGGAAAAACTGGATTCACACTCACAAGTCATAATGCTAACTCCTTCTGAATACCAAGTCTATTCAGCAAGGATTAAGGGATTCTGTGATCTCCTGGGTTAATATCAAAGGACCTCCAGACTGCCGCGGAATCAGTCCGATCTTCCCACCACTTTTCTGTCTCCCCCACTAGACTGTAAGTTTTGAGAAGGCAGGTTCACATGTCCATCTTATTCATTTCTGTATCCCCAGAACCCGACACATAGATTCTTAATAAATATTCAATACATAAATGAATATGCTTCACAAACCTTCTCCTTAATTCAGATGGAGGTTACTACTCCTCATTTCCCCGCCGTGTGTTCTTGCCATCACATCTTCTTCCACGCTGTTTACTCTGTCTGGACTGTGTGTTTCCTCCTTTCATTCCCATGAGGTATAAGAGCTAATTTCCACATGGTCTAAGAACTAGGGGTTCTTTTTCGAGGTGTGGCTCAAACACCACCTCCCCCAGGCAAGCAGCTGCCCAAGGCCTCCAGGCTGCAAAGGTTAGTTTTTTAATAGCCAGAGTCCACCTCTGGCACACCCCTCTTCTGTTGTACTTCCCTCGGTCTCTGTTTCATTACAGTGACTTGTGACTTGCATAGGCAAAAGGGAGTAGTGGGGACTGTGGCTACTTACAGGGTAGCCATTTCATCTAGAAGTGGCATTGCTCCTCAATTTAGTCCATTATTGCTGCACTACAATGTGTATCTAATGTTTCCAGACCATCCGGATTTTTTGAAATGAGACCTAAATCTGAGTTTTAAAATTTGATGACTCTTTCAAAGTTGGAAAGACAACTTTGGAGGCCGAGGACAGGCCGAGTTTGACCTCCAGATGGCCAGCATTAACCGTTCAATGAACACAACAGATATGCTTATTGTCTGTGAAATCGTATTTCAGTTTACATTGTAGAGTGCTATACAGGTTGTAGTCACTTTTGTGATTTTATATGAGTCCCGTGAAAACCCTGTGGGCACTGTTTACCGTATTTTACAGAGAAGGAAACTGAAATTCAGGATTGTTAGATGACGTACCTAAGGTCACGGCGGCCAGGGTGGTAGAACCGAGACACATCCTCTCGTCTTGACATTCCCAGCCCTTTCTGCCAACCATGCCTTTTTACCCCTCTCTTCTCCCACGTGTTAAGGGTAGACACCTGTCTGATTCATTGCTGTCATCTTCACACTGGTGTCTTGTAAATAATGAGTGCCCAATGTAAGTTTATTTGTATGAAAGAAGAAAAGAAAGTACATAGGCACTCTTAGGTAGAAAAACAGCCAACATGAATTACAGGGGTGGGCAAAAGTAGGTTGGCAGTTGTGAGTACAACCGCAAATCAGTTTAGTCTTGTATCATTATTTATTAAATATTGTACTGTTTTCCATATGAGCAACTGTACCCTAACTTTTGCCCATCCCTGTATATCTCTCTTGTTATTCCAATAAGCCAGTTGCATTATAATTTTCAGGACTATTTCCTATGATGTAGGAATCTGTGATCAGAAACCCAAACCATTCCATTGCTTGGTGCAACTCCTTGGAGTTCTCATTGCTTCTATGCACATAATCTGCATTTAGAACTGTTTCAGCACATATGTATTGATTAGCTGTGCCAAGCTTTCCATATAAAAGATTTGAGTGTGTGTATGAGAAAGACACAGAACGTCTGGGTGGGTGTTACTGAATTAGGGAGCCCCAAAGGATAAGTAAATGGTCTCTATACTCCTGAAGTTAATATTTAGTAAGAGTTTCTAATATCTATACTAAGGAAAAATAGTGCCTTTTGAAAGTAAAGGAGGACTGGGAGGGAAGTAAATCTTAATTAATCAGTAGAAATCTGTTTGATTCCAACTCAGCCCAGATACAACAGTCTCTGCATTAAAAAAATTTACAATCTAGTTGGGAGGCTGAGGTTTATATACATTCAGACACACATAGACACACACCTACATTCATATTCATAATTTCAGCAATTGCCACACTCAGCCAGAAGTATCTTTACTTATTTTTATCCCTAGAGTGATTTAGGGCTAAATCATTACCTTCTGTCCTTTATCACTTTTTAGACACAGCTGAATGTTTTTTTTAAAAAAAAGTAATTTTTGAAACCCAAATAGTTTTTCTTTTTTTTTAGCCAACTACCCTCTAACTTAATTTATATTTTTTGTTACTTAGCTACTCTGAAAAGAAGGCAACATCACATTTTCCTGTAAGAAAGACTCCTTGGTACTTTCATTTGCACGATGCCGAGAGCTGTTACTTCCAAGGTGAACCTGAATGAAAATCAGTCTGCCCTCAGAGATGCTCTTGTATCCTAACCAGTGCCCCTGAACCTCAAAGGGCATGTCTCCTCTCCTCCTTGCGGGCCAGAAGGGCTTCACTTTCATAGTTTGTGGGCTCTCCAGAGCAGCCCCCAGTGATCTGAGCTTCCTTTCCTGCTTCACAGATCCTGTAAGTCACTGGATCGTGAGCCCATAGTCGGTGCTCTGGGTGCGCCACCAAGCCCAGAAGCTTCTGGAAAGCACCCCGGCGTCCATGTCCTAGGACATCAGCCCACAGACTCAGAAGGAGCCCACAGGAGTCCCTGCCGGCTCTGACAGTCATAAGCAGGAGCGAGATATGGATTGGTGGGCCCTAATATGACGCCTCCATTGGAGATGGAAGAGGGGGGCTTGAACTGGGTCTCGGGGGCTTTTCGCCATCCACCTTTATTAATGAGATAGCATTGCTGTGTGACCTGTGTCCACCCTGCCCCATCCACCTGTGGTCCGCTCTGTGGGACCCTCTCAGTGAGATTTTAAAGGGATGTTTGTTATTTTATCCAACCGATTGGCTGAAGGAAAAATATTAAAAACTATGAATTCAAAACAACCTCAGTCCTTTGAGAGTTGCCTCTCTGTTATTATTTCAAGATTCAAATAAAGATTTACAAAACCACTTTTTCTACTCAAACATGTAACCATGGAGAGAGTCGCTGAACAGCGCTGAGGCTGGGACCATTCAGGCGGCAGGGTGCTTGCAGCACGCTGTGTTTCGACCTCGGGCTTTTGTTTCAGATTTTTTGTGATAAATGCTGGATGATATTTAAGATAAGGCTCATCAAATGACAGCAAGGTAAGAGCAATACATGCTGATTGCTAGAGAAACCAGAAAAATTGAGTAATTTATATACTCAGGCAAAATAAAACATAATTGACTATGTTAATGCATTTTGTTACAGTGATGGTTTGGCGTGGTGGGTTTCCTTACTTCAAGGAATAGCTATGTAATTTTGGTGAAATATATGGTGCCTTAGATTTTCATTCCACCCTCCCCCCTCGAAATATAGCACAAACAGAGCAACCTCCATTTCCTCATGGATGGTCCTCCACTTCTGAACGGCGATGCTAGCAGAGCGAGCATAAATCTCCTCCAAACACGTGCTCTCTCGTTAGTCCGTGAGGAGCACAAATGCCCCACTCCCCGGTTCCCTCTCCCAGGACCCCACACGGAATTTTGCCCACCATTATAGAAGCAGATGGGTAAGACAGGAGGAGTTCATACTCTCCTGTCCTGCCGCTTCTTCGCGGGGCTATTTTAGGGCATTGCTGTCTCCTTTGAAACTTACTTTTCTCACAGATCCCATGTGGCTCATAATACCTACTGTACAGGTTGTGAGGATTGAAAGAATGTACAATTCTTTATCTCCTGCCAAGCATAGGGTGGACCTTACTACTTAATTTTAGGTTCCCTGCACCTGTTCGAGCTGCTACCTACATTTCTTGCACTTCTTTTCTGAGAGGCCTTTGTGTTGTCTCACAGTGCAGCTTGGGGCTGCCTCTCTTCAGTGACAGTGACCACAGTGACCACAGAGATGGTATGGAAAGAAACGCTTCCCTCTAGAAATTCTTATGTGGGCTTTCTGGATGAACCTTTACTTATGGTACTGCTTTAGATGTTTGCAGGAGCAATAAATACAAGGTACTGCCATTATGTTCATGTCCACTGTGGGCAATGGTTATATTTTTATTTAAAAGAATCTCAAGAGCTGCTGTCCAGTTTAGCCTAAGGATCCCTAGTGAGTCTATTCAGTGAACAAAAGAAATCTGAAAACCAACCAGTTAAGAATTCTACCTGGACTTTCCACTCACTCATTTTCCTTCAGCAATAGATAGTTACTATGTATTATACATGCGAAGGAAAAATCTTCCTGAATTTTTCAACTTTCTTTTGTTTTTCCAGGTCGAACTGTTTTTACTTTTATTTTTTATTTCTTCACCTAATCAAAAGTACATATAGTTTACATTCAATATTATTTTATATTAGTTTTAGGTATACAGCATAATAGATAATCATATACTTTAAAAATGGTTCCCTTGATATTTTCAGTACTCGCCTGGCACTATACATAGTTATTACAATATTATCGACTATATTTCCTATGCTCTACTTTACATTCTTGTGATCATTCTCTACTAATCTGTACTTCTCAATCCCTTTACCCATTTTGCTTAGTGCCCTGACCTACCCTCCCATCTCGCAACCACCAGTCTGCTCTCTGTATCTATGAGTCTGTTTCAACTTTGTTTCTTTATTTATTTTGTTTTTTAGATTCCACATACAAGTGAAATTCATATGATATTTATCTTTCTCCGACTGACTTATTTCACTTGGCATGATACCCTCTAGATTCATCTATACTACCACAAGAGGTAAGATCTCATTCTTTTTTATGGGTGAGTAATATTCCATTGTATACAGGTAGCACAGCTTTTTTATCCATTCATCTATTGATGGGTACATGGGTTGCTTCCATATTTTGACTACTGTAAATAATGCTGCATTGAATATAAGGGTTCATCTATCCTTTTGAATTAGTGTTTTGGATTTCTTCTATGACCCCAGATTCCACTAGTGAAATATGCATGAATCACTCAGTAGAATCATTCAGTCATAAGGCAGTTCCATTTTAAATTTTTTGAGAAAACTCCATACTGTGCTTCATAGTGGGTGCACCAATTTGCATCCCTACCAACAGTGCATGAGGGTTTCCTTTTCTCCTCATCCTTGCCAACACTTGTTTGTTGATTTATTAATGATAGCCATTCTAACAGGTGTGAGGTGATATCTCATTGTGGTTTTATTTTGTATTTCTCTGATAATTAGTGATGTTGAGCATCTTTTCATACATCTATTAGCCATCTCAATTTTCTCCTTAGAGAAGCAATATAGCTTGATGATGGAGAATAGAGACTGTGATCAGGAAGACATATGTTCAAATGTTGACTCCAGCTCACATTTTGGGCAAGGTGTTGAACTTCTGCGAGCTTCAATTTCCTCCTATGACAAATAGGGTAGAAATAGGACTTATTTGAAAGGCTGTTACGAGTATTAAATGAGATAAACACAAGACATTTTTATCCACAGTAACTGTATTATGATTTCTTCTTTTTTAAATTCTTGTTTGGGATTGACATTAGCATTCAACATTTTGTTTGTCTTTCCTCTCTAAATTCTGATAAAATATACTGACATTTTCTTTTCCCAAATAAATCAGTTTCCCTGGTTCCTGTATTCCAATTAACTTCCGGTTCATAATGTAAGAAGACAGACCGAGTACGAGGCATGAGTAGAAGGGTTTTGGTGGGGTTTTTTGGCATCAACCTTTTTGCCTTTGTCATCCTACCTATAATGTGAAAACAGAGATACTGAGAATTGCCAGAAGGGAGAGGAAGGTTGTCTTGCCTCATAGAAGTTCCGAGGCCTTCTGGGCAATGCGGTGACCTGCCTCTAGGGCTTTCCTAACTGCAGTCCATTGAGATCAAGATCCTCATTCAAATTTGGAACTTTTATTGGCACCGAGGGGGGGTGCCCTACGCTAGAACTGTACATTCTGAAGTGAAGGAGACATGGGGCCTAAATATAAGGAGATCACAGTCTAACAAGAAAGGAGAGTGATTATTGAATTCTTGCTTGAGGATATTTTACCAGCTCAGTCCTGGAGAAAGACAAGGAAATAAGTAGAGAAAGGGAGGGCAATTTCTGAAGCAAGAGCGCCATGGGCATACGCATGGAGAGGTGAGGGACAGAAGAGAGAGAAAGGAGAGAGAGGCAGGTAGTGATAAAAATGGGTCTCTATAGGCAGGAAAGAGTCAAGTTATACAAGGCTTTTTAAGTTAAACACAGGAGCTTGGACTGAGAACCCTGGAGAGCCACTGAAGGATTTTAGCAGCGAATGAGACAATCAGATAAGCATTTGAGAAAGATCGCTCTTACTTGCACAGAATCAATTGGAATTGGACAAGAATTGAGGCAAGGAGAACTGATGGGGGGGCTGACACAGTGGTTCAGGCTAAGCCACGGCACTGGCTTGAGCTAAAGTGACAGCAGAAAAAGGACATAGAATTAAAAGATATTAGCAGGCAGAATGAGTAAGTTTTATTGTATGAGGTTAGGAAGGGAGCTGGAAGAATCAATAATTACTCCTATTTTCTGGCTTGAGCAAAATGTGTTGATAGCTTTCCATCAGTTAGAAAGTCAGGGAGAGGAGGAGGGAAGAGGATGAGTTAGGCTTTAGACTTGAGGTGTCTGTAAGACAATGAAGTAGCTAGTAATACACATTTGGAGATGAGAAGAAGGAGCAGGGCTGCTAACCAGGGAGCAAGGTGGGGGATAGAGAACCAGGTACAGGATGGGCCTTGTCTGGTTTCTCAGTAATCATATGTATCACCTGGTGAGGGCTAATGGGACTGGTTGTGTCAGGTTGAAGACAGCAAGATGCTTAAGGAAGCCATAGACACTGTGCAATTCAAGATTGGTAGCCTTTTGAAGATCCTGCATTTTGCTATTTTTGCAGCTAAGTTTTAGCATGTTGAGTCTCAGTGATTGTATAATCTGATGGTCAAACAATCAAAACTAGTTTTTTTTTAAGGTTGCTTTCCTGACCCTGACATTATGTGGAGACAAATATGGCACAAAAAGTAAAAACGACTTTCTCATAAGTGCTGATGTACTCCATGGCTGGGCCCATTCTTCTCAGTGCTGGAGACCCTTAACCCTAATATGTTCACTGTCTTTTCAGGAGTTCTTGGCAAGATGCTGAGAAGCAGTACAAAACTTAATGTAAAATGTGATCCATTTCTCAGTTTTGTATCTAAGAAGTGAAAATCACCTTTATTATATACTGCTACCTTATCTTTGCTCACCCTGTGTAGCCCTAATCTCTATCATCCCCCCACCTCCCAAATGTCAGGCTGGTGTCAGAATGGAAAGATTAGCCAGAAAATTCTCTCTCATCAATCCTGTTCCAACGACACCATAGAGCTTCTTGCAGTTTCCACCTTTGCTGAAAGCTGAGCTACTCTTCATGTGCATAGGATGTAAGTGCATGCCAAGAGTCTAAATGATGCAGTGGAGACCATCACAGGGTCTCAGAGAGGGGAATTCAGCCTTAAATGATGGGGCCAGAAGTCACACTTGGAGTTTCCAATTGTTCTGTCTTTCAGCCCTGAAAAAGCTTGCAGTTTTGTAAGAAGCTTTCTCCAAAAGCAAACTATGCTTGTTTTTGTTTGTTGGTTTATTTTTGTTTTGGGGGAGTCTGTTTTAACTTAACAAGAATGGTCTTTGGCAACCCAAAGGCACCAAGAAAGCATGAGGAGAAAAGGTAAGAAGTCTTCTGAGGATTTTTTCATGCTTATTTCCTGATACTGTGAATTTAATACATACCCAGATACATGCACAAATCAGAGTGACTGGTGTTATCTGAGCTCTAATTTTTCTGCAGTAGTAATGGGCTCAGAGAAAGGAATGAGGCTGTGTATCTCCTGCAAATTCAGATGCTGTTGGGCAGGTAGGTGCTCAGATTTCTGCTTCTATGATAGTCTGGTGGTCCTCATTGGAGGAATCAGTATCTTGAAAATTGAGCTAATGGCTAGTTCCCAGGCTAAGGCTCATCCAAACTATGGGGAATAAAAATCACACCTTAGCATCATAGGAAGTAGGGAATGAACTATTATATAAAAAAATCAAGGTATACATCTTGGTCCAGAAGTGACAACAATGACAAAAAATACCTGTTAAGTATCTCTTTATGTGATAGGTCTTGTGCTGGTAGTTTATAACCTATGTTGCATTATTGTAATTCTCCCCATTTTATAGGTGAGGAAGATGAGGAGAAGGAAGATTAATTTCCTTGTTCAAGTTAGTACATCTATTCAGTGGACAAGCAGGGACTGGAACCCTGGTCCATCTGCCTCTAAAGCCTGTGTTCCTACCCTCATTTTATACTGGAAAAGGAAGGGGTGATGCAGAATGGCGTGTGATTCCACCCATTTTAAATAGCGTGGACTCCACACTTGGTAAGAGGGTTCTGGGTGCCGCCCCTAAAGTGGACTGAATGAACTAAAAAATGTCATCGAATAAATGGGCTTTACTCTAACAGAGCTGGCAGGTGAACCAACTGTCGATAATACTTCCTGGGCTGAGAGCTGAGTGCATCACAAGAAAGAGGAATAGTTCTGCCACCCAGACATGCATCCCTATTCTTGCTTTTGAGCCAGGGCAGTAGCTAGAACTCTGCCAGTATAGTTGGTATTGTACAATGTGCAGGAACTTCAAGAACAGCAAGACAGGGCCCCACACTCAGTGTGACTCTGGGGAGAGTCACCATAAGAGAGACAGAAGTTGAGTCATGACTATTCCTGAGTCATTGCAGGAACCCCAGAATAGAAGTTCATGACTTCAGTGGGGGCTGAGGCACTGGGGATTTTGCTCCAAAAGAGTTTTTCCCCTGGCTCAGCACAGACTCTCCAGGTTGGCTTTGGTGGTCCTCAGACCTACCAACCTGATCCCACCTCATGGCCTTGTTGCAACTCTGCCAAGAACTTCACCTGGACAGATGCTTCTTGGCCTTCAGGTCCTAGTTCCAATGTCCTTTCCTTGGGGATGCACTGTCTAAGCAAATCAGCAGCCTTTCCCCAGGGCCTGTGCATGAGTCCTTCTCAGCCACATACTTCTGCTTTGGAGTCCCACAACACTTAAATTATATAAATGTTCTGTTTATTTGTTTATGTGTGTTTAGTACCCCTTTCCCATCCTTGGAATGTAGGCTCCACTGTTTCATAGACTTTTTAAAAGTCTGAGTTATTGATATTGGAGAGTGAGTGAGGAAGAAAGAGAGAGAAACATCAATTTGTTGTTTAACTAACATGCATTCATTGGTTGATTCTTGTTTGCGCCCTGACCAGGGAATAAAACCCACAGCCTTGGCATGTAGGGACGATGTGCTAACCAATTGAGCTCTCCAGCCAGGGAGGGCTTCAGAAACATTTGTCTTGGTCAGTGATGAGCTCCACACATGGAACAGGGCCTCATTCAGGAAATGTTCACTAAATACATATCAATTAATGAAGAAATTAATAAATCAATGGTCATGTCATTATCATTACCATCACCATTTTGCACTACCAAGCCTTCAAGTGGGGGGAGGACATGTGTGTTTCCAGATGGGTGAGTCCCAGGTTAGCCACTCAGAAACTGATTGAGAGGAAGAAAAGAATAACCAGGTAGAGCCAATGTCATCACACATTCAAAATCATGTAGCTGCTGCAGGTGAAAAAATACAGGCATAAGCTATATAGCCAGTGAGTGTGGAGAGCAGAGGCGTACACTCGGGTGTCTGACTGCACTGCTTTCCCATGCACACAAAGGCTAGGGAGAACGGGTCAAGCAGCTTTAAGTGTATCTGTTATTGACCTTATTTCACAAATTGGGCACAGAAAGATTTGATAATTTGCATAAAGTCACTCAGCTAAAAAGAAGCACAGCTCCAAAGTCCACGCGTCTAATCACTGAATTACGAGGATATCTTTCAGACAAGATGAAGAAGAGTCTCAGAGGAGGTGACAGTAAATCTAGGACTATCAAGAAGTGTGGGAATTGAGGGAAGGGCCTTCCAAGCCAAGGACAAAGCCTGCTGTGTTCTCTCTTCCCGCCCCCTGACATTCTTACTGATGTGCCTTACTGATATTCTGGGAAAGTTGCTGCCTCTGATTTCTAAGTAAATGACAGAGCAGAGGCTGAACAGGGTTCATGTGGGCCATTGTTTCTCTTTGAGCCATTGTATCTTTGCCATCTCTGAGACAGGCTTACAGGATCCTTAGTGCTTTTCATCTGAAATGTGCATGACCAGAACCTCCAGCCTGGAGGTTCTGCCCTGGGAAGGGTGGAGATCGTGCCCATTTGCATTTCATCTGTAACAATTAAACAGCCTCACAGCAGCCCCCGGTTGCCGGCGGGCTCACACCCCATTGCCCTGTAATCACATCTAATCTCATTGAGCTCTGCTCAAAATAGCCATAATTGGTGGTTTTATCCAAATCAATAAAGACAGCTTCTACATATTGATTATCATCCAGGGTATAAAATCAGCATTGGTTACCTGGAAAAGGGAAGCAGGCTGCCAAGGGAAAAGGTCAGATATTCCATTTGAACAGGGGAGGATAGGGGGAGGTGGAACCGGTGAATTTTAAGGTAATAGTATCAAATTACCTGAAAATGCACACAGTATATTCTTGTAATTTGCAACAACAGAGAGCCCAGAAATAGGTCAATCATTTAAGTGAGTCTTCAAGTCTTCTCTCTGTGATTCACAGAGCTAGCCTGCATTATTAGCTTGTCTTAAAGGGACTGGGGCCAACAGGAGATAGCCAGACCCACAGGGCTCCTTCTTTCCTTCATTTTACAACCACATAGTGACACAATTTCAGGGGAAACTATGGCTCAGCTGGGTTTCCTGTATTCAACTAATGATCAACAGAAATTCTCAGCCATTGTCATCAGTGACTATGAGAAGAGTCGCAAGGGGGAAGTCCACCTGAGAACCTGGAAGATACAGAATAGAGATGTTTACCACCCAAACAAATTAGAAAGCATTTTCCAATTTATGGGCAATGGAATAAGGGGCCTGCCCAATTCTCAACGTGGCATTTCAAACCACAGAATTGAAAATGAGCTGGTTTCATTTTTTATTGCAAGACAAACCCATTATTCTATTTTTATTTCTTGCAAATATTAAACCAAAAATTGCATAAAATTATTCAGTATTATTCGTGGAAAACAATAAAGAGAAGATCATCCATTCATTATCTTGCTGCTCCAACATATTAAAACTGGTCTTAGGCAACTTCTAAGCCCATTTTCCTCCTCTGTTAAATAGATAAGGCAGTGATGACAACATCTAGCATGTAGGGCTTTTATGAAAAATTTAAATATATATAATAGTAAGTATATATATACACATATACTATATATATATGGGACTCAGGAAATAACTACAGAATTTGACTTCTTAAAAATGTATGGAAAAATTTATGCTCTTAAACTTTGTATTTATGACTATATCATTCTATATAGCTGTGATTATTACAGAAAGATCATTTCATATTTTTTCCACTTTTCTTTTCTGGTTCTTTCTTCATAAATATGCTATTATAAGAGCTGCATAAAATTCTCCTATTGTGAGATATCTTTCTATGATAGGTAAATATTTCAATGAATGGCCCTGGCACACAAATTATTCTTTCTTTTGGATTATTTTCTCAATATAATGTGAAGCATGGTTTGGGGGGGTTAAAGGTATTGTGACATCATAGGCACTGGAAGTGCCTGGAGTAACCTGGCAGGGAAGCCATGCCAGTGACGTAGAGAAATAACAATCAAAGCCAGAGTTAGTTTGTAATGTAAGAGTATTAAGGAAAACAATCTGTACAGTTTCCATTTTATAGATAAAACGCTTAAAATTTAGAGAGGATATTTAAGAACAGACACAAAAATGCTTAAGAAATAGACTAATGGCCTTTGCCTGCCATAGGTATAGAAAAAGTAGGCTTGCCAACAATATTGTCTCATGTTCTGGGTTGGATGGCTGCACCAACAGTGGAGGAGGGACAAAGGTGGGAGAGAGGGGGGAACACAGGACTGTAGTTTGATGGAATAGAATCTGTAAGAGGCTGACTGACAATGAAGGTCACTATGACATGTCTGTTAATGATCCCCAGGTTTTTATCTCCCAAAGTGAAGGAACCCAGGGCTTCCATTGTAGGTGATAGTTGGATGGGATCCCTGCCAGGTACAGATATGACTTCCATTTTTTTCTTTCATGGAGTGAGAGTGGGAGCAGATTTTAGACCTTACCCGCTGGATTTTGTTTAATTATTGCAATTATAATTTTGGATGAACTCCTTTGGGATATTGGGTTTACGAATAATGACTACACTTTCAATATATTGGGATGATGAATAATACACAGAATAAAATTAGCAGAATGAGTGAAGAGAATAAAATCAGATCATCAAAATCTAGTTTTTTTTGCCATCACCCTTTACAGCTGTGGATTTGACTATATTTGTTTTCATAAATTTGAGAGTTTCTAGATGATGGTATTCAACATGAACCTGGGATGTCTGTAGTCTTCCAAATATATGGTTACCAAGAAGTAAGACAGAGCCAAAGGTGCTGAATTGCTGCTACCGGGCCGAGGTTCTATCCCTAGTCCCTACCGCTCCTCATGTTTTCCTTGGATTATGGGATCTATTCTCGTGACCTCAGTTACATTCTCTATATGGATAACTCCAGAATCCACATCTCCAGCTAAGATCTCTCTCAAGTCCCAGACTGGTAGTGATGGCTACGTATCTACTATCTTCAACTGGATATAATTTGAGCACCTGTAATTCAATTAAACCTTTTGTCCTTCCCATATCTTATCCCTACCCCACCTGACCCTTCCTACATTCTCCTCTGTGCTTGAAGTTTCTATCAACCACTCTATCATCCACACCGTCACCCACCCAGACTAGGGATTTATCCTTCTGTCCTTCCTCCTTCTTATGTCCTTGTTCAAACAATAATTGGATTTATCCACTTTTACCTTCTAAGTATTACTGGGATTCACCCCCTCCTCTCAGTCACTGTGACATCTGTCCCAGTCCATTTCCTTGGCATCCCTGGCCTGGGACAGGCAGTTTCTTCAATGGCCTCCCTGTTTCCAGTGTCGACTCTCTTCGGTGTACCTTTACTTCGCTGCCAAAATTAATATTCTAATAAGTAAATGAGACATGTCACTTTCTTGCTTAAAACTTTTCAGTGATTTAACATAATATGCTAAAAAGTCAGTAAATAATATAAATATATCTATATGTATAAAATGAATGAACAAATATTAGATACTGAAAGAACTCAACTTATTCGACCTTTCACAGACTGCCTCTATCTGTGTGTCTAGCCATACTTCCTATAATTTCTAACTCATTACTGTATATAGTAATAGTGCCACAAATATACCGTATTGCCTCACTTCTCTGGATGGCTTGGGAAAGCTCTTCCTCATTGTCTTCATTTGGATATTTTTAGACTTCCTTTGGAACTCATCTTATGTGTCATTTTCTCCGGCTCATCATTCCTAGCTCCGTTTTCCTCAAGCACTTAATTATCCTACTGTGTGCTAGGAACTGCATTAGGTGCTGGGAACAAAATGGCAAGTTAGACTCCCTGCCCTCTGGAGGAGGTACCAGCCATGTGGGGAAACAGACATGGAAAACAAATAAATAGCGTTCATTCATTGAAAAAAAAGTACAAGGAATGCAAGAAGACAGGAAGCAAAAGATGTACAAAGTTTAGATGATCAAGTCTACTTATAGACATTAAAGGGTGACAGAGAATTGCAAGCAAATGAACCAACATTTACAAAGATGTGGAAGTCTGAAAGGGACTGAGAAGATGATGTTATGGATTGAAGTGTGTCTCCCAAAATTCATAGGTCAAGGTCCTACTCCCCAGTACCTCTGAAAGTGAACTTATTTGGAAACAGGATATTTCTAGAGGAACTGTATTTTGCCGTGTGTAATTTGCTCTCAGGTATAATGTGTGCCCCCACTTTTGAACCAAACTTTCAGGAAAAAAATCTTTCTTTTAAATTTTTTAATTCAATGTTTTGATTATTTATATTTAGAAACAAAACTGATTATTGTATTCCAGGGTATTATTTTGTACACAGATATAGTTATTGCTTTCTAGAGTTCACTTTTAATGCATAAGTATAAATAAAAGAATTTAAAACAGTTGTATAGGTACAGAATTAATACTACCCATGTACCGTGCACATCTTTATTTTCCCCCTCCAAAAATTGGGCAAAAAATTTTGCATTATACACAGCAAACTATGATAATCATCTTAAATTAAGGTCATTAGAGAGGACTCTAACCCATATTGACTGGTATCCTTCTAAGAAGAGGAAATTTGGACACAGACACATAGAGAGAGAGAGAGCACTAAAGACACAGGGGAAGACAGTCATCTAAAAGCCCAGAAGGAAGACCTGGCACAGATTCTGCCCTTGTGGCCTTCAGAAGGTATTGACACCTTGATCTTGGATTAGCCCCAAGAATTTGTGGGACAATAAATTTGCAATATTTAAGTCAGGGATGTCAAACTTATCTTCACCTGGGGCCACATCAGCCTCATAGTTGACTTCAAAGGGCCGAATGTAACTTTAGGACTGTATACATGGAACTACTCTTAACTAGGGGCAAGGAGCTCGGGGCTGCCACTGGGTAGAAACAAGATACCAGGCCAGATAAAACAAGGTGGAGGGTGGATTTGGCCCATGAGCCTTGTATTTGCCATCTGTAATTTAAACCATCCAATCTGCGGTACTTTGTTACAAAGGCTCTAGGTACCTGATACAGATAGTAATTTGTTTGGGTTTGAAGATGAGAAGAATGGCCGGAGTTGAACAAATTATGGCAAGTCTTATATGATATACCGAGGTTTCCTTTTCTGATTAAAGTCTTCAAATTAATTTTATAGGTGTTGGGAAACAGCAAAGACAATGAAGCAATTTAGGACTGAGTTTTAGAAAGCCCATTCTGGGGGCTAGATAGAGGATGGGTCAGGGGTGGAGAAATGACCGACTATGAAAAAGCCCTCATGAAAATAGCACAAATGGGAGGGTGGTTGGAGAAGGTGAAACAAAGATGAAAAGTTATTTAGGAAAAAAATTGCCTGGCAGTTCCACTGCTGGGATTATATCCTAAGAACCCTGAAATACCAATCCAAAAGAATATATGCACCCCAATGTTCAGAGCAGCACAATTTACAATAGCCAAGTGCTAGAAGCAACCTAGGTGCCCATTGGTAAATGAGTGAATCAAAAAACTATGGTACATTTACACAATGGAATACTACATAGCAGAAAGAAAGAAGGATCTCCTACCCTTTGCAACAACATGGATGGAACTGGAGAGCATTATGTTAAGTGAAATAAGCCAGGTGGTGAGGGACAAATACCATGTGATCTCACCTATAACTGGAACCTAAAAAGAAAAAAGCAAGCAAAATATAACCAGAGACATTGAAATGAAGAAAAATTTGACAGGAACCAGAGGGGAGGTGGGAGGGGATAATGGGGGGAAGGGATTTCAGGAACAACTATAAGAGACACATGAACAAAACCAAGGTGGGGGATGGGATCAAGGGAGGGAGGTGGATTTGGCTGGGGGTGGGGGGTGGGGGGGGTAAATGCAGATAACTGTAATTAAACAACAATAAAATAATTTAAAAATAAAAGAGAAAAAAGAAAGAGGGGGGAGAAAAATTGGCAGGACTTGGTGACTTGACCAGATGTGTGAGTAACAATGCCTAATTGCTTTAATTTTATTATTTTTATATTAGGTGTGACTAACTGAGCCTATGACGGAAAGCACAGAGAGAGAAGAGAGAAACCAAAGAAGAAACTGGTCAGACAATAATACCTTTTCTCCCAAAGTGTCTCCCCAAGATGTCTGGCCCTGGCTCAGACATCATGGTACAGTTCAGATAATGAGAAGCCATAATCCCAGTGCTTCAGTACTAAATAACAATGAGAACTTCTTAAAAGAAGTTATCAAGAGTAAGAATTTTTTTCAAAAATCAGTGCACTCCTTCCTTCTGGAGACAGCAAAGAACATTCTTCTTCCCTTTCTCCATTCATCCTTTTCTCCCTCCCCTCTCTCCTCCCTTCAATAAATAATTACTGAGATCCAACTTCATGCTAAGTACTACATTAAATGCTGGGGATACATAGAAAAAAAAAACAAGTAAATAAACCTTTGTATAAGGAGCTTTTGATTTTCTGGAGGAAAGGTGTATAAATCAATGATCTTAATCTAGCACAGTAAGAGCTACAGGCACTCCAAGCCGGCTGGCTGGTGAGGTCTGCTCTGATTGAAGGAATTAGGAAAGACTTCCCAGAAGTTGTGACTTTTTGAGCTAGATCTTAAAGGAGATAGGGAAGGGCTTAAAGTCTTGGAGTGTGGGAGACTGTGGTAACTTCTTTGGGGTAATGTAAACAATTGTGTGACTGCTAAGTTAGAACATTTCAGGGCAGGCAGCAGCGAGTGAGGAGGTCAGAAAAATAGCCTCAAGGTCTAATCTTGCAATTCTGACATCTTGCCACTGAAATCACCAGTTTTTTTTAGTGACGTCAGAAAACTTTTGATTCCAGGGAAGACAGAGGATTTTCCAGACTCTCGTTTCTCAATCATTCAGCCTTGAAAACATCCCAGTAAGATTGTGGGTTAAGAAATGAATCTAAACTTAGGACACTTTATGAGGGCAACAAGTTTTAATCACAGTGCTTAAATTTGGGGGGTCTCGCTTCGAGAAACTGAGCAAACGTCTTCAAGACTCTGAGTGTTAGCTTTCTTGTAAGACTGCATTAGATGGTGGGAAGGCTGAAGAGTTTGGTTATGAGTGACTGTTCAGTGACCCCCTGGCCTTAAGGTGCTCAGTCCCAGAGTGTGCTTTAGCTTCCTGAAAAGTTAAACTTCCCTCCCGAAGGCTGTAGCCAATGCTGCTGCTGGGCCCAGGGGCTCCACAGTGAAATGCACATGTGCAATGAGAAACAGAGAAGTTGACTCTTTCCAGTCCCCTTGTGGGTGGGCGTCAGAGCAGCCAGCCAGAGTTGCAATAAAAGGTTTAAGGGAATCAAACATGGCTACAGTCAGCTTCTTGGGGGAAGTGAAAAGTCATCAAAATCAAAGAGCTCCAGTCGGTAGAATTTGGCCACAACAGGGATATTCTAGACAACAGGCACAGTCTCCAGGCATGGAAAATCTCAGACTGGATGAATCATAGGACCTTTGTGCAAGGAGGAAACCCGAAAATCGTTGAGTCAAACTCCTTTGTGTAGAGGGGAAAACTGAGACCTGGAATGCCCAGGAGAGCTCAGCTGATCAAGAATGCTTAAGCACCTCATTAATCCTCCTTATTAGGAACTTCATTAGGGGAAACCTGGCATTGGAAAGATCTTACTTCACTGAGCAGCAGGTTTGGTCTTTCTCTTTTGGGCACAGGAAACCTAATTATATTTAGTATTGTCAGGTAAGTCATAAGAAACCCAGATAGAGCTGAATTTTCAATGAACAATAATTATTCCTTTTAGTGTAACTATGTCTCAAATACTTCACAGGACAACTTATAATAAAGTTATTTTTTTAAAACAGAAATTCAAATTTAACTCAGTTCTCCCTATCCTCCTCCTTCTTCCTAAATCTATCCACCCCCCCCCCATGTTTATTGCAACATTATTTATAATAACCAAGATTTGGAAGCAGCCCAAGTGTCCATCAGTAGATGAAGGGATAAAGTAACCGTGGCATATTCACACAATGGAATACTGCTGGGCATTAGAACAAAAGAAATCTTACCCTTTGTGACAGTATAAATGGACCTGGAGAACATTATGCTAAGTGAAATAAGCCAGTCACAGAAAGATAAGTATATGATTTCTCTTATATGTGGAATCTAATGAACAGAATGAACAAACAAGCGAAACAGTGGTAGACTCATGGATAAAGAGCAGGCTGACAGCTGTTGGGGCAGGAGCTGAGTTGCCAGGGGAGGTAGAGTGGGGGGACAGAGGGAATAAATGTTGGGGATAAATGATGATGGACAGAAACCCGACTTGGGGTAGTGAACAAACAATATATCATGCATCTGAAACTTGTATAATTTTGTTAACCAGTGTCACCCCAATAAATTCGATAAAAAGAGAAAAAGCAACCCTAATTATGGAGTGTCTTTCCATCTTCCATCCCTACTCTGACTGCTAGGAAGCTTAAAGGATAATTATAATTACTGATTTTTAATAGAACTTTATGGTATGTACTTAGCTTTATCTTTTCCATTTGTTTATACCCCTTCACTTTCTTTTTTTAGATGAAAAATCTAATGATTATAAGTATCTTAGTAAGTCACATTGAAAATTTTGCTTAGATATGATTTTTTAAATGACAGCATTATGTAATTATTAAGGGCCAAATTTTGTAGTAGGTCCTGCAAATATTAATATGAAGAGTACCACTGCTGTCTGATCTCAAAAAACCCTAGTCAGGTGAAGGAGACAGTCATTTATGTAAGTAATCACAATGCAGGCAGATGAATGATGAGCATGGCCCAAGGTCACACAGCTAGCAGGTGGCAGAACCAAGATGTGTTTTATAACATTATTTCCCATGTAGCTGGCGAGCTGACAACCCTTTTCTGACACATCTCTACCTAAATGTCTATGGGACAGTGCAGTGGGCCTCTATGTTTGGCCTTCTCAGCACCCATCCTTTTTCTAAGTGGAGCACCCTCTTAGTGGGGGAAATTGCTCCCCCTCTTACTTACTTTGTGATATTAATAGTAGTTGCTGATCAATGTACTTGTTTTCCATTATCTTGGGTGATTGGTTTTGGTTGTAGACACGTGCCTAAACCAGGCCAGGGTCCTTCCTGGAGAATTCTGTAGAAAAAGGCAGTTCCTCTCCGGGGGCAAAATGAAATGATAAATATCAGTCATATCTCCTGCCGTGTGGACGAGGCCTGGCTGAGCACCTAAAGGTGATATGAGGAGAGCAGCAGAGAGGAGAGATGAGAATGCTTTTGCTACATTTGAGTTTAGCATTTCAGTGATTCTCAAAGCTCAGTTGCAAGTTCACTTAATCTTTTTACCCTAAAATAATTTGAGCTGTGTTTCTGTCACTTGCAACCAAAAGGGTCACAGCTCATAGAGATGGTTTGAGCTGAACGACCATGAGCATTTTCCCAACACCTAAACCAGTGATTTTCAACACTCTTCATCTCATGGCTCACAAAAAGTAATTACTAAAATTCTGTGGCCCACCAAAAAATATGTTATATTTTTTGACAATCTGACAAAAATAGGTATAATTTTGATTTAGTCACAGTAGATGGCTATTGTTGTGTTGGCTATTGTCATTTTTTATTTGACAATCTAAGGGAAAAAAGGTCAGTGCCCCTGACTGAATAGTGAGGTACTGCATGTTTTAAAAATTCTTGCCGCACAGGTTGAAAATCACCTCCCTAAACCATAATGGGGTGCCAGAGTGGGCTTCGATTCCATGGCTCAGGGTACAGTTGACACAAAGCTGTTGACTCTGCCTTCAAGAAGCACAGAAATCTCCTGCCCTTCCAAGGCACTCCCAAAAACAGTGTTTTCCAACCTGCTTCTAAGATTTCCTCAAGATGTCTTCATTGTGATGGAGCTTATCCAGCAAAATGGAGCAGCATTGGGAATGCTGAGTAGCCAAGTGTACAGCAGAGTGGCTAGACAGTCAACCACTTTACAAAGTGTTCCCCCCATATTGCCAATACCCAGCCAGCACCATACAGTTATTGCAATGAAACCAATACAAAGTAATATTGAAAGTGAACGATAATTAAAAAAGAAAAATTAAAAAAAACACTTTCAGTTATGCTAAAATAAAAGGGGGGGCATGTAGCCAAGCTGGTCTCAAGATCTCCAAACTCCCTTCATGCTGTTGTTATAACAGCTCCCATTTTTAAAACAGGGAAATTAAAATGCAAAAAGGCAAAGTAGGTTATTCAAGTTCACATATATTTGGCCAAGTATATTCTAGAATCTATGTCTCTTGACATTTAGAGCATTGCTCTTTCCAATACGTTCTATCTTAATAGCTGGTATCATTCATTGAGGGATCCTCAGTGTGGGAAGAGAATATTGATTATGATGAACATGAAAAGAGCAAAATAACTTTCAGGCTCTCTGGTTTTGTATTTAAATTGAACAGTCATTTGGGGGAGAAACCTTGAGAAAGTCGTTAAGACGTAATACGCATTTGAGCGTCCCCACTTTGGCTGCACATTCCAAACACTTGTGAAGCCTTAAAAAAAAAAGATCTTTGGGATTCCTGCACTCCCAACAAGATGTACTGAGTCAGAATGTTTGGGAGGTGGGGCACCAGGCTTTCATATATTTAAAGAACTCTGAAGATAATCAGATTGAGCCAGTTAGTGGTGCATTTGGTATCACTAGTGTAGATTTAACAACTCTCAAGAAACAAATTCTCTCTTGGTTTGTATTAATGTACAATCAGCACAACTGTTTATACAACACATGTACATATGTATTTAAGCAATTTTTTACTTCATCATTCAAGGGATATTTATGAATTCCCTACCAATTGCTAGGTTCTGTGCTAGGCACTTGGGTTTAAAGATGAATGAGATGGAAACTCTTCCCTCAGGGAGCCTAGAGGGAGAGATAATAGACTGTTCGAATGGGGCTGTCATGTCAGGGTACTATGGGTGAGTGCTTCAGGGAAGAAGCTGGAGGGCTTCCTGGAAGACTGTTTGAACTGGGTCCTGAAAGCCAGGTAGGAGCTGGATTTACAGATGAGAGGAAGCTCAAGTCAGGAAGTAGGAATAGCATGGGCCGAGACTGAGAATAGGGAAATAATAGCAATATCTACAACAAA